GTTTAAAAGTGTAGTCATTTAGTAGAAAGCTCGATTTAATGACCTAGGATCACTTGGGAATGTTGATGTCCCTCGGTTCTTTTTGTGTTGGTTCGAGTGATAGAGACCCCGGTTAACCTAAAGCTCTCATCTTTGTTTTTAAGTTTTCATTTGCTTTCGATTTCCATTTGCAAGTAGTGTTTAAATCAAACCCCCTCAATTTGCGAGTAGAATGTTTAGGACCTTTTCGGTTGTGTGACTTAGACGACTAGGTAGTGAACGAAGCTCCGAAGAGCCTTCCTTTGAGAACGACCCGGGTAGCTCGGTTACCACATGCCCAAAAATATACTCAACACACCCCAACACCAAATTGCAGACCATCAAAATAAGAACGTAAAGAAGGACCAATCAGAAGGGCACCAACCTTAGAGACTAGGCGCCTCCAAATGGTACCCACAGCAATAGGTCGAATACCACCACCAGGTTTAACAAGCGGAGTGAGAGGGGCACTAGCAATATACTCACCGAGCACCTCTGGACATTCCCCACCAAGAAAGAGGTTAACCACATGCGTGATAGAGCAGATCAACTCATCCAAAATGGCAGCAGCAGCCCCACTCAAACAATCAATAAAGTGTTGTGCACGAAGCCCATCACGCCCACATGATGTACCACGAGGGAAACTCCGAATGCTATCAAGAACAACACGGGTGGAGGCTGAGAGGGCCTCACAATCCACAGCTAAACGAGGCAAGGAGGGAGAAGGCGAAAAGGGGTGCTTAGCCTGCAATTCCCCAAGTGTGGCACCTGAATACGGGGCAACGCCAGAGGAAGAGAGGACCCTAACCGCTGCGGTATAATGGCCATCACATATCTTTCTCTTACACTGGCGCAGACTACTCTCGGCCAAATCCAAGTCATCATCACCTACACCAACCAAGGAGGGAGAAGGCTCGGCCAAAGTTTCCCTAACCAGAAACATCGGTCCCCCAGGTTCGCCCCATGACCGAATAGCAGCGGCAATGCTCTTTTCTTGCCTTTGACGTTTAGTACCAGACTTGCACTCAAGACAACTTCGGGGGCGAAAGGTCCTGAGAATACAAATTGGCAAAACAAGCCAACTAACCCAGCAAGAGAGATCATCTGGCTTACAAATGACCTTGTCGAGAGCGCCTATCAAAACACGAGAAAACCCCAAGCGGCACTTAGGAGGTATAGATTTCACAGTGCGAAGCCTCTTAGAAAATAAGCTATCAAGTAGCCCCTTATTATTATTATTATTATTATTATTATTATTTGTTTCTAAAGATTGTACATTTATGGGTCAGGGACTCGAAAAAGCGGTAAAATGGGTGAAGGAAGGAAAGGAATATAAATGAGTTTACACGATCCTATTAACATAGGGAAGATTTATACGTTATCCTATTAAGTTAAATATTTACACGATCCTATTAGGAGATTGACTGGAGATTTTATACCATAAGGTAATTGACTTTCCTTGTTCTTATATAATAAGATAAGATTTCTTCCTCTGCTTCTCATCTCTTATTAGTTTACTTCCTCCAAATCTTCACTGCTACAATTTGTTTTCTTTGCGCCGACATCATATCTTCTAATAATAAGAAGAAAAAAATTGATGCAGAAAATTGCAAGGTAAGGTACCACGTTTCTTTTTTTTTTCTTGAGTTTGTTTATTAATCGATACATATATTTAAATGAATCAAGCTAGGTCAACTAATCGAGCTTGAGCTTGTTTATTGAGCATAGAGTGTTGCAATCAACTTGTTTCTACTGGTACAAGAAAACTTAAAAACTAATGGAGTTTTTAGTTTATTAAAGAGGAATTTACACCTCATACTATCAAATAGGTTTTATATTACGTATTTACATTCAGTTAATATTTATTTGTAAATATACAAAATCACCTCAACATATTTGCACATATACCATATTTTATAAGTTAATTAAATATGGGAATTGAATCAGTTATGGATAATTGAGATAACTAATCCCTAATACCAAGAATTCCCCTCTCATTATTCTCCCCAATCCAGGTTCCCCTCTCATTCTTCTCCCCAGTCACTACCTCAACACGGCTAGCGCAAACCACCACAGCCAACAACGACACCATCATCACCTCCGTCGTCGACTGAACGGCGAAATTCTACCAGAGGCGGTAAATCCTAGCCACCAATTTATCCACTGATTTATCACAGTCTCTGCAGAGGTCGTGGAGGCGCGCAACGGAGTTGAAGAGGGAGGAATCGGAGGCGGGGTCGGGGGCGTCCATGGCGGCGGAGGATAACGATCGACGATGGATTTCCCATCTCGGTCCCCATCAGCCATTTTTTTTGCTTTTCTATTTCCCATTCACACGGGTTGGAATGGCATATAAATGATCCAGTGCATCCCAAGCCCAAACCATGGAATTTCCCTACGAAGATTAATGGCCAAAGTTTATCCACGGTTGGAAAAGGATCCAGTCGATCTCTTGAAATACGTTTTCTTTCCGTTTTCTATTCTGCTTTAACCAATGTCGGTGAGTGAGTCTCTATGAATAAAATTTGGGTTCGATGAACCAACGAGTCCAGTTACAAATAACAAACAAGAATGAAGAAATGAAAATTAGGCTTAGGATGAACGCTGGCGGCATGTTTAACACATGCAAGTCAGACGGGAAGTGGTGTTTTCAGCTGTTGTTCCCCTCCCAAGGGCAAGTTCTTTCGCGTTACTCACCTGTCCGAAGAGTTTTATAATGTCCTCAATTTTCGTCGGTGTCCTCGTCGAGGGTTGCGGCGTCGCCATGGTTGGGGGAGATGGTTGGTTGCTTGCAATAAATTCGACGTTTGGTTTCATTTTTTCATTATGAAAATTAGTTTATGATCAGTATATGTACACTATACATACATCTTAGAGATATGCATAGTTATTGTACATCTTAGTTTATGTTTGGTATATCAGTTATGTACACTTAGTTATGAATGAGATGTGTGTTTTTTCTGTTTTCAATGTTTATTCATAGTTTTCATTCTGTATATGTTGCGGGTATATACAATATATTTTCAGTATATGTTTCCGTCCGGGTATATACACTATATTTTTAGTATATACGGGATATCAACAACAAATATACATATGAATTTGGAACATACTTTTGCAACTGAACGATAATAAACAAGATCATATATATTTTCGGGATATAAAATATTTAGGTGTACATATCCATAAAAGATATATAAAAAATATACTCGAGTTTCTCATAATTCTAGCCAGCGACAAATCGGGACATGGACGACATTTTGAGGAGATTGGTTTATATTCGGTATATTTTCAGTATATAATGCGTTTTCAATGGCTTCATGAGCTTCTGTACGAAAAATGTCGATACCGATGGAGGAGCCGAAAGAACATCGGAAACTGTTGCTCAAATATGTTGCGTGAATTGTTCTGGATGAAAAATCCAATCAGCCCTCTTCCTTTTTTTGTGTTCTTCTTATTAGACACTTGCATTAATTTTCTTTTCCGATAAAAAAAAAATGTTTTTTTTTTATGTTTGCTCAATATGTTCTGATACGCCCTTACTTAAGGGACATCAAGCTGCTTATCACTTGAGTCAACCCGTGTTGGTCAACTCGAGAACTTGCTAATTGATTTTTAGACATCAATGTAGTTAATTATTATCTATTAAGTAAAAACACAATTATTTATTTATGCACGGTAGTTTCACAATTTTTTGTAGGATACATGAAAAATTCCCTTTATTAAAAGTCAGTTGAGTTGAGGTTTCATGAAATTACACGAGCCGAGCTGGCTGATTTCTTGTTGGTCTTGGTCTCATATTCCATGGGATTAAAAAGGATAATCCGTAGCTTATAATGGAAAGTGGGCTTTATGCATGGATTCTAATGATTACACAAAGGCTGGCCTATGAAATCAACTGGGCCGTAAAAAATCAAGATAAGGCCTGTAGGAAAGTCCAAATTAATATCAGGTCAAGAAGTCAATTAAATCCCCATGTACAATTGATAAAAAATACAAAAGTTATTAATTTTTAAAATATATATACAATTCAATAGTTATAATAAGTAATGATATTAAAAATACAATTAATACATGTAACATGAACATAAATAATCAATATATTTATGGTAATCCGAAGCGCGTTCTGAATTAATATATAGGGAGATTATTAAACATGATAAAAAATGATGAACAATTAGTAATAAAAGATTAGACCCTTTCCAAATGGAGGAGTATAATTAATGGAAATAATTTTATTTTTATAATGAATTTTAATAAATATAATTATTTTTTATTATTATAAATATAAATATAATTTATTTATATCAATATATACAATATGGATGTCAAATTGAAGATCATCAAAAGATGATTAATTTGATATATTATATATGTAAACCGATAAGAAATACAAAAGTTAGTATCCCCTCTATATATAATTTCCGAATGCGCTGAACTTACGTTGTTGTTTCTGGTGCTTCGGAATCCTACTTGGCGAAAGAATCATGTTTCGTAATTAGGGTTATATTAGTACAAGTGATATTAAAATACCTAAGTTAGCTAAATAATATTTATGGAATGTCCAAACCTAGATTATTAATTATTAATATATTAATATTATTTGTCCAAACCTAATTACGAAGCATGATTCTTCACCAAGTAGGATTCCGAAGCACCAGAAGCAGCCACGTAGACTCAGCGCATTCGGGAATTATATATTAGGAGGATTCGGGAAAAAAAAATAATTCATTTAATATTTTTGTCCCGTGCATGACGTACATACTAGTTTTATTTCTTAATCCAATCCAATTAAATTTACACAATCCTATTAAGTTAAATTTCCGCAATTCCGATTGATAAATTGATTTTATATATATACAATCCTATAAATTAAGGAGATCGACCCAAGATTTGATACCCTAAGTTAAACGACTTCCTTAAAGAGATTGACTCGAGATTTGATACCATAAGTTCAACGACTCCTTTGATTGATCTCTTATATATATATATATATATATAAAAAGATGTCTTCCTCTCTTATTTTCTCAATACTTTCTCCAATTAATTTCCTTCTCTCAATATTCAAATAAAAAAGATCAATTATATTAAAATAAAAAAAA